GTAGAGCCAAGGTAATAAATACTAGCTGAGTCGCTTCAGCTCAACTATTTTGTACTTAATTTCTTGTCGATATTCCTTTCCTTCAACGTATTGCCTAGTTGGTTAATTTCGATGGCCTCTCTAATTTTATACTTAGCTGAAGACATACAAAACTCAGAAAAACGACAAATTTTAGACCATTGAGCCTCATGTTGAGTTTCTGCCGTGTGGTCTGTTAGCCCTGATTTCTTAACCCAACAGCTCCTATAGACGCTTTTGTGCCCCAAAACCCTTAGTAGAATGTGATGGTATGTTTTTCCAACATGAAAACCTGATCTGGATAATGGGTCAACTTTATCTCTAAAAATGGGCATAAATAGAGAAAGTGTGAAAGTTTGGTTGCTAAACATTTTTAAAAATCAGACGACGATTAGTGTGTATAGTACTCAAATTTATCCTAATTCTAATTTTGCTTTCAGACCAGTTTAATAATTTCGAGAGTGAATAAATGGCAAGAACATGATAGAAATTCTATAAAATACGCGAGGAATAGGGTCAGAAACCAACAGAATATATTTTACAAGAACTAGTGATACCTTAGACTATTTAGAGATGGAAGGCCTGACAATCATGAGGCCTTCTAGTTATTATAATTTGGGAAACGCAATTACTTGTAATACTAAAGACAAGCAAAAGTGTCCCAAAGAAATGCTGCAGTCTTCAGATTTTGCCTAGACCAGATGTCTCCCTGTCCCTTTGATAGAATACAAACCTGTCAAAAATGTGTATTTGTTTTAGATTAGAAAATTAACCTACTTTTTATAAAAAAGTGAACCTTACTAACCTGAAAAGTACTGAGCGCCTGAAACCGAGTTTGACAGAACGAACACAAGTAGGGACGATGCACCTGAGACTGTTGTTGCAGTAATTGTTGTTGCTGTTGGTGATGATGGTGCTGTTGTTGTTGTGAATGATGATGATGATGATGTTTATGAGAAGGTGGGATTCGATTGAGTTGGCCACTCGAGCTGGATGGAGGCTCACAATTGACTGTAGGACTACGGGGCCTTGAGCCAACAACACCGAGCTGAAGAGCATTACCCAAAGTAGATGCCATTATCGAAGGCGTCGAGGGCAGGCTTGGTAGGAGGGGAATAGATGGAGCAGATGCCCCTCTTCTGGCAGCTGGTAGCCCATCCACGTCACCATGACTAGGATCCATGATGGAGCTAGACCCAGTCGTGACTACAGTGGATGCGGGAGCCGAGGAAACAGTGATGGTGTTGGTTGCACTGGGCGCTTGTGATAGAGTCGGTAGAATGAGGCCGAGCCCAGGCGAGATTGGTCGAGCCCCCGGTGCCAAACTAAGTCCGAGGGTTTGTAGATGTGCCAAGAGGTCGAGACCAGCTGGAGCAGAGTGTATGCAAGGTATTCCGAGACTTGGAGAAGTGGAAAGCGGCTGTGGGTGTGATTGTGGAAGACGAGAAAACGCCAGAGTCGAGAGGCCGAGCAACGGGTGTGAAGGCTGAGAGTACGCCTGCCCGGTAGCATTGTTCGAAAGCGGCGGCTGCAGTTGGAGAGATTGTGCCGGCGGTTGCATCACCTTTGACGTCTGGCTGGGAAGTGAAGCAGGCACATTTTGCTGTTGCTGTTGTTGCTGCTGCTGCTGTTGCTGAGAGCTTAAATGATTACATCCCTCAGGAAGTGAAGAAATTAGGAGTTGGGGGTTCGGGATGAGCCCGGCTTGATGTAAGAATTCCAAAATTGTGTTGGCCTGCAAATGCTGCTGATGTTGTTGTTGTTGTTGTTGTTGTTGTTGTTGTTGTTGTTGTTGAAGTTGTGAGAGGATTTGTTGCCGGGCCATAGGAGAAAGATGAGGAGGGACCATAGAGGAGGACTGTTGGGGCCTTAGAGCAAGAGCCTGTCCGGAGCTAGCCAAAAGCTGAGAGATGAGACCAGCCATCAAAGTGATCGGGAGCAATCCGAACGAGGACATGGGCTCCTCCAATCCGTTGGCTGAGGATGCGCATGAATGGACTGGATCATCAGAACCAGCCTCAGTTGGACCGGATGCCGGACTTGGCATGGATGTCGCCACTGGGATCTGGCCGAGGCAGCAGGATGACCAGACTAGAGGGGTTGCATCCGGACTGGTAGACCCTAGGATGGGCGGTATCGGAAATCCAGAGGCATCCTCACTATCCGTAGGGCCCAGACAAGGCTTTAGAGCTGTATCATTCAGTCTACCGCCACTGGGAAGCGCAGGTGACGCCGTAGTTACCGTCGTTGGGGGCGAGGAATCGCTAGCCAGGGACCCTATCGACGCTCGGAGGCTGGTCGATTGGGAAGGGGACTGTTCCTCGAGATGCAGGCCTGGAGCATGAGCACTCATGGAAGCGGAGCAGGGTTGTGGCTGACTGAGATCGAGTGGGCTACAGCGTGCGCCATAACCCAAGGCATTGCCAGCAGTACCAGCAGTTTCTCGGATTTGCAGACGACGGACTGGGTCATCGGAGACAAGCCGCTTTCGGCGGCGTCGCGAGCGAGGCTGCCAGGCATTGGTGCTGGGACAGGAGGCAGCAGAATCGTTGCTAAGAGTAGTGTAGCTTGGAGTACATGAGGTGGCCGTACCGACAGAACCGAGGGTGGTACTGAAGTTGCTATGTACATGAGCTGCTTCCTTGTCTACGTAAGCCTCAGAGGCGGAACTGACCACCACTGACTTGGAAACAAGCTCAGTATGCCCTGCGTCTGTACAGCCATCAGAGCCTGATAGGTCGGAAGAGGGGTTGCCTAAGAAACGGTATAAAAAGGTTGGGACAGTTGACTGAGGAGAGTTTTGATTTTAAAAACTGGTACTTTTGGGGCGCATTTATTCACATTATCTAAATCTACACATCCTTACAACCGGAGCTGATAACCTACACAGGCTTTTAAATCAACCAGGCCCATCGGGGCGCTTATGCATAATCACAATTTGCATTAATAAGTACAACATATTTCGTAAAATTCCCAAAGCATTTTCTTGGTAAACTGGTCGTTTGGATCAGTCAGCTGGAATAAATAAATTCGGGCTCCGTTTATTCGTAATTCAATCACAATTAGGCCACAGTTCACCATTATCTAATGAAAGTAAATAAATCTGTGATAGATGGGAAGGTAGAACTAAAAGTACTTTTCAAATAAGAGCTTTCTTAGTCCTTAAATCACATTAAGATATCTAGGATGACTAGGCTACTACTCAAGAAATTTTGATAGTCTCGAAAGCTAGTTGCATTAAAAATAAATAACATGGTCGATTTCAATAGTAACTTTACGTTTGCGTCATCGAAAATCTAAGTATAAATGGGATTCAAGAGAGGCCTAGCTTGCCTTGAATGTCAAGATGCGATGAACTTATGGGGAGGAGGCTTAGTGAAATTCTATAACACTGGTA